CGAAATTCGTACTGGGCTTTAGTGAGATATCGGCACTATCAGCGGGATTGATGGGATTTTGCGAGATCTCGACAGGAAAAGTACATCTTGCGAGATCCCAGCAGATTTCATCCTAAAAGTTCGACATAGGTAGTATCTAGTTTGCGGACATACACACATACAGGCATTTTAACTCGATAAGACCCGTTCCTTTACAGTCAAGGGAATATCACTGGGTATCATAGTTATCAGTACTTAAGAGATGGTTTTTGAGAAGATCAAGGATCACCTCTGTGCTTTTAAAATTTTAATTTTGGATTTTTTATGTGCATTCGAAAGGCCATCGTTGAAAAGCAGTAAATCCAAATTTTTAGCTCATTTGGATGTATTATAAGAAAGATTGCTCATAGCGACTTTTGATCAGTACGCTTTTGATCAGTTTTGTAATGTAATATATCCAAAGATAGAGGTTCGATAGCTGAACAAAATGAGCTAACGAGTGGCCGATAGTTTCCTGACATAATATTTGCTCATTTTTCGTCCGTCACCGGTCATGAACGCGTTCTCGAGAAAACGTTACGCGTTCTTTCAAGCGACAACGCATTCCGAAAGAATGTTAAAAGCGTCTCTCAAGAACGCGTTCGAGTTTTTCAAAGACGCGTTCATGACCGTTCTTTTTTATAAGTGACATGAGTTTAACATAAATATTGAGCCATACTTGGGAGAAAGTGAAAGAAGAAAGAGAAATGGGAGTGAAGAAAAATACCCACTAAAATGGTTCTATCGTATATAAGCAACACGAGTCTAACATAAATATTGAGTCATACTTGAAAGAAACTCAAAGAAGAAAGAGAAATGGGAGTGAAGAAAAATACCCACTAAAATGACTATATCGTATATAAGCTACCAATAACAGTTATATATAATCAGTTCGTATTTTGCACGACGCACAGTATCTCCGTAAGCTAATTTATTTTAGTTCAGTAAATTTAATTTAACAATTTATATCTAGCAGTAAGTCAAAAAAAACTGAGAATTTTATGTAATTTCATACAACTTGAGAAAACGACGGCAATATTCAGGGGAAAAGAAATAAGCGGTTTACTTCTGTTTTATGACTGTATACCATACTAATTTTTCTCTTTCGTAAAACAGCGATCTGTTGAGTAATTTCATGTTAGGTTGCGAAAGATAAAAAGCACAAATATGAATATGCATTTCTTCATCTTTTTTTTTTCTCTTGCACGGGTGCCAGTATTATTACATATAACTGAGTATCATAGTTATCAGTACATAGTATTATGCTACATACTCCTTAATAATATAGATATTTTAGAAAATCAAAATGGAGAACGATAATAAGACCCATTTAGTACAAGTTAATTTGCCAAAAAAACAAGTTAAAGTTACTCCAGGTTCTTCTGGTGATGTTGCAACAGGGGCTACTGTTGGAGCTATGGTTGGTGTTGCAGTAGCTGGTCCACCGGGCGCAGCTGCAGGTGCTGCTGTAGGTGCCGTAACAGGATATATATTTGGTACTGGTAATGGTAATGGTCGCCAAAATGAAGTTAAATGGTGACAAAAGCTCTAAGGTAGACTTTTCTAGTTCTCCTTGATGGCTATACATACATGAGAAAGCTATATCGTTAAAGTATGATTCACTTCTTTCTTTCTTTTTCCTTTTTGTATAGAACATCAAAATATGTATTCTTTTTTATTTCCTTTCTGTAAGTGTATGATTACAATGTATTGCAAAGTTGTTCAATAATTTTGCTTTGTAATGAAGTTGTTTTATTACTTTTTGCTTATCATCATGTTTCGTCTATTTAAAATATTACTTATTGTGCACTTATTGTATTTGAAGCACCCTATTTCACAAACGAAATAATTCACTTAAAAGAAGTTGACTATTTTTCATTGTCTTATAATGCATCAAATAAAGGCACCAGCAAAATATATCCTGTAGTTGTCAATTATTTTTCTAAATTAGGAGTTAAACGTGATCTTATTGGTATTGTCGAACAAGCAACAGAAACTGCCATTGGCATAAAAAATACGTTAAAAGATGTATTAACTAAAAATGACGTTGATTTAAAAAAAATAGTTAGTCTTGGAGCTGATAATATCAGTGTAAACTATGGCTGTAATCATTCTGTATATGTATTATTAAAAGAAGAGATACCGAATTTGAGAAAAGGTATAGCATTATTATTTTGTTTCTGTTATATTTGATATCGCTTATTCTATTGATTCGCCGAATAGTTGAAGATATCCGAAAGGAGTACACCCGTCTTTCGGAGAAGCCACAAAGATTTTCTTAAGGCATTATTCTGTTCATACTTTGCCCATATTTTGCTGTCGTTAATTCTTGAATTGACGTGATCATTGATCATCGCCGCTTCCGTCGTTGTTATAGCAGATTGTTGTTCACATATACTACACAACATGCAAATGATGTATTAACGATCGATGTTGAACATATACTATCCAAAATTTTATAGTTATTTCAATTGTTCAGCTAAACGTGTTCAAGCGATAGATGATTATTTCAATTTTGCGCAGCAGGAAAAGAAGGTGAGCAAACTTCTCGTATCTCAGTGACTTTTCCTTTGCACGAGTCGGATATGTGTTGAGTTTCTTTGTGTACCTTGATGTTTAGGTTTTGTTACAACATATAACAATTCGTTGGTTAAGTCTATTCTCGTTAGCAGAACGATTATTATTGGTTTACAAACCATTGTGTGCTTGAGAGTTTATATAGAAAGTACAAAACTGCCACGAACATGATTATAAATCATAGATTCATTTATTGTAATATTTCGGTAGGTCACTCCTACCATCATCAGACAATAAGTATTTATATATAATATTGAATTTGACGTATTTCTGTTATCAAGGTTGATGGAGTTGACCTTGATCTATTATTTACTGATTATAATGAAATATTAAGCCCATTCAAGATTATTAAACGCAGTGATCGATCATTAAGTGATTTAATTAAACACTTTATAAACCGCTCAATTAAAACAAGAGAAACTGATGATTTACTTGTTATTCACAAAGGAGAAGACAAAGAAGAGGAGAATACAAATAATGAAAAACATGAAAAAAATGCTGCATCAGAAGAATTAGAAAGAAAAGAAATAGAGAACGAACATATTCGTCCAGATCTTCTATGGGCTTATTTGTTTTCACAAACAAGCTCACCAAGACCTCAAATGAAAAAATTAATTTCTTTAATTTTTTCAATTCCAGCATCGAATGCATTTGCAGAAACCATTTTTTCACATATGAATTATTGCTGAGCGAATGCACGGAATAGGATGTCAAGTGAATTAGTAGCTGCAGAACTGAAAATTAGAATTAATACAAACTTAACGTGTACTAATTTTCCTTCTTTGATTTTAAATAACAAACAACTTCTCAAGAGTATTCGTGGAAATGGAAAATATGCACATAGAAGTAAAAAATTATGTTTAAATTGATCACTTATTATTTTTAGTGTACCAAAAGATATTTGCCTTAATTTTATGTTTACGTCCTCCTTTACCTTTTTCTTAGTTGACATCCCTGATTGCTTCTTTCTAATCAGTCATAAAGAGCCGAAATATTACTTAATTAAAATATTTTGATATCGTTTCTAAAACTAAATTTTTATAGGCATTCTATGAACAATAAAAGTGTGGATCGTCAATACGCTCAACAAATGTCGATCCCTTTTTGAATACGAACATTTAGTCTGTATAAGAGCAGAAAGATGAACTAGAACTCGGACAACGTCGTAGGACGAAAAAGACATCTTTACTAGCTACCCATTATAAAAATAAGAAGAATTAATCGATGACATAAGGAAAGAAAAACAGCTACCTGTCTATAGTGAAATAAGTTCAGTTTAAATAATGTGTTTTTCAAGGTAATTTCTATTTATTTTTTTCAGATTTTGATGCTATTCTTTAATATTCTTAGAAAAAAGAGGGAAACTGACTTAAAAAGAGGACAAAAAAGAGGATGAGTCCGAGGCCAGGATGTAGTACACGTTACCTAAGTTTTGACATTTGGTTAGACGATTAGAACGATAAGTCATACATCTATTGAAACAAAACCGTTCACCTATGCACATTCCTCGAAAATACCGTTAATGAAACCGTTTTGAAGCCAGTATCGTATTTAATGATGAATTTCAAAAGGGAACCCTTCTTTCGATAATTGTACTTAATTTCATCCACTCAGTAAGCAGAAACAACTGGATTCCTAACGTATACTTTCCATTTTCTTTAAAAACGAAATAATAGCCACAGAAAGTGTCAGGCTGTAGATATAAAATGATCAAAATGATAGAACGATATATCATTATCACCGGATTCAACAATTCTACATAATATTCCAAAATCGAGACCTACTTTGCTATACTTTGCTCATATACTATAGCGTATCACAACCTCATCGATGTCACTTCACAATTTTTTCCACACATGTGTTCATTAAAACCCAATGAAAACTACCTACTTTTTCTTTCCCGCAATTTCAAGCCGCGAGACTGCGGTATTCGGATTGGGCATGTTGAAAACTGATTTTACAAAATTGGAAGATACTCAAAATTCAGACAGGCTCACAAGTTAAGATTATCTAATAAAAAGAATTAAGGCACTTCGCGTTGCAATAACATACAGACACTTTTGCCCTTGCAGTGGGAAATGAACCGACCTTAGCGCTATCGCATGAATTAAACTGCTAAGTTATACAACACTCTTCTCGTTCGGTGGAAGCAGACGTAGAAGACGAATCAGGTGCCGAAGGACGCAGAATTCTGAATATATTACATGCAGGATGTTCTTTTTCCATGTTTCTCATCCATAACACTCCATTTAACACATGTGGACGATCGTCGGGAAGATTATTAGAGTCAATTACATATGATTTTCCTCGCAATGCTAAAGCTAACTCAAGTGCACCGTCTTTGTAGAAAGCCTCGGACAAACTATTACAGGTTCTAGCAACATCTGGGTGATTTGGTGAAAGTAAAGCCTTTTGAATTTCAAAGGTTTTGGTCCAATACTCAATTGCTTTTCCGTAATCACCTTGATCATAGTATATTTGTGAAATGTCGTTATAGATTGTAGCGACGTCTAGATGCATGTCAGGTAATATTTTTTTACATAAATTCAGAGCTTTTCGTACTTTTCTAGTGCTTCTGAAACGCGCTCCTGATTACGATAAAGTGAACCGAAGATTACTATTAAGCTGCACAAGGCAATTTTGTTCTGCCTTCGGCACTTTTTCACCTATTTCCAAGTCTTGATTGTAATATGATAGAGCTCGC